TTAAGGGAGAAAATAGGTCATATTTAACCACCACATACATGGCACATCATTTTGACTATACAGAATAAGAGGAGAGAAAAATGAAGAAATCAGAAATACAGGAAAGACAACCACCAAAAGCATCAATCTCTTTTCCTTCATCTCAGTCAGGTATACATATGTTTTGATTGTATATATACGAAGGATTCAGAATTCTTCTAATATCTTGCTTTAAAACCATTAGCAGTATACTTGAAAGTAATTTCAGGTGTCAAAAGAAAGAGAAATAAAATGGCCCAACCTAAAATTAAAAATATAAAACCTGAATCAAGAGGTAAAAATATTCTTTCACTTATAAAAAATATTCCTTGCACTTATTTCCCTTCCTCCACACCATATCATCAAATGACAGGTAATCAGGTCCTTGTGAACCCTGCATGGAATCTTCCCCCTTTCAGGGCTCAGAGTCCCTGTGGGGTCGAGCTAATTACAGGTGCGTTTCCTCTGCCAGCCAGTCACACTCTGTACTGTTGAAGGCACAATTAATAATTGAACAAAGCTAGCTGGACTTTTTTTTTTCCTCACAAGGCCACGGGTTGCAGGTAGCTTTGCTGTCACACAGGGAGCACAGTCTCTTCTTTGGGTGTCTCCAAGAAAGGCTTTTGCAATATAGGCTGAAAGGATCATCCCATTTTCAAATTTTGAAGAAGAAAAAAAAAAGGAAAATAATCCACAAAAAAAACAAAAATGAAAAAATAAATCCTAGTTTCCTTTATAGGACAGGAAAAAGCAAATTCACTCTTCTGTCACCGGGAATATGATTATGATCAGATAGATGCTTATTTAGGTTAAATATGAAAGAGATGAAAGTGTGGGCTAAGGAATTAATACCATTATAAGGGAGAACTGGAGTTTGCCCTTGAGTCTATGAATGCAGTGGGAGTTAGTTTTGCATGCACCAGAATAGAATTTGACCCACAGAGAGGACCTAGATAGAGTATTACAGAAGAATAAAGTTCTTCCCTTGAGATGTCCTTAGGAACTAAATGGATGATATCTCCAAAGCCTTATAGCATTAAGGATGAGTGCAGAAATCCCCATACTATGCTCCAAGACATAGGCTTGAACAGGAGGCTGGCTGTAAACTATACTATAAAAGGTCAGATAGAGAATATTTTAGGCTTTGGGGCTAAGACACCTTTGTTTCAACTATTCAACTCTGCTGTTTTAGGTCAAAGACAGTGATAGACAATATGTAAATGAGTGAGCATGGCTGTGTTTCCTTAAAACTTTATTCATGGGCACTGAAATGTGAATGTCATATATATTTTTTTCATAACAAAAATAGAATTCTTCTTTTGAAATGTTTCCTAACCATTTAAAAACCATTCTTAGCTTGCAGGCTGCACAAAAGTGGAGCAGGCAGAATTTGGCCCAGTAAATGTAGTTTGCTGCCTCCTGGTCTCCCTATTGGAAACCCCTGTGAATACACCTATTTTTCTAGCTGATTTTTTAGATGCTGCCTTTACTGTGGAATATCTGTTCTACCTACAAACTTTGTTGACTTGAAACATCATCTATAACCAGGTTATTCAGAGTTCAAATCACATGTTCATTATCATTAAAAAGTTTACTAGAACCCAGCCAATGTTACTCATTGATTGAGCTTTGACTCATAAACCAAGAGTTCATGGTTACATACTGGGTCAGGACTCATGCCCGGGTTGTGGGCTCAATCCCCTGTGGGGGCGTGCAGGAGGCAGCTAAGTGATGTTTCTCTCTCATCGATGTTTCTATCTCTCTATCACACTCTCTAAAAAAACAGTAATATATATATATATATATATATATATATATATATATATATGTATATATATATATATATATATATATATATATAATTGATTTTTACAGAGAGGAAGGAGGAGGGATAGAGAACTAGAAACATCGATGATAGAGAAACATCAACCAGCTGCCTCCTGCACACCTCCCACTTGGTTGTGTCCACAACCAAGGTACATGCCCTTGACCGAAATCTAACCTGGGACCTTTTAGTCCACAGACCGATGCTATATCCACTAAGCCAAACCGGTTTTATATATATATATATATATATATATATATATATATATATATATATATATATTAAAGTTTACCAGTGTTAGCCATGAAGTTCTAAACTCCTAGACCAAACCTTGAAACTCTGACTCTAGCTAACTATTTTTCTGAAAACAAGGAATAGAAAAAGAATATATCTTTAGATTCAGGTCACCAATAGCATTGTTTGCCTGAGAAAAAACATTTAATAGGCAATAGTGGATCTAAAGAAATAAAAATTTTATTAATGTTCATTTCTTGATTATAAATTGAATATAATTCATCTTCTTTCTTCTATTCTTTACAAACTTTTTCCACAGAAATTAAGAGATTATAAAGAATATATTACATATACATTTAAATTAATTATAGAAGGTGAGTCAATATTAAAATAATGGTAAGAAAACAAGAAGAAAGCAAGAATTTCATGCCATAAAATTCATATAGTTTGCTTAAAATCCATATTGTTAACTTGTAATTGACATAGGATTTCCTATATTCTTTTATAAATGGGCCATAAATTTGGCTCTACCTTTGGTACTAGTCAATACAATGAAGGACTCATGATCACTTAGAAAAACTCATTGGGTTCATTTATAGAAGAACAAACCATTGCTTAGAAAAAGGGCAATAGAAAAATAAATAGCAATTTCTTAAAATGTCCTTGAAATGGAAACTATGTAATAAAATTAACTATCTCTCATAAAGGTTACAACAAAAGCAATAATTTTAGAGGAGATCTTTTATGACACCTTTAAATGGGGACCAATAGTTTTTATAACAAACTAGAGGCTTGGTGCACAAATCCATGTACCAATAGGGTCCCTCAGCCTGGCCTGCAGGATTGGGCTGAGATGGGCTCTCTGACATCCCCTGAGGTGTTCAGGATTGCAAGAGGGTGCAGGCCAGCAACCAGGGACCCCACTGGAGCATGATTGGAGCTGGGGAGGAATCATAGGAGGGCTCCAGGGCATGTCTGGCCTATCTTGCTCAGTCCTGATTGGTTGGACCCCAGCAGCAAGCTATCATACCAGTCAGAGCATCTGCCCCCTGGTGGTCAATGCACATCATAACGAGTGGTCAAACGGCCTTAGCATACCATTAGCATATTAGTCTTTCATTGGTTGAACCACTGACTGGATGGCTGGACACTTAGCATATTAGGCTTTTAGTATATAGAATTGTCATTCAGTAAAAGCAGTTCTACTTGTGACAGGGATAGATGGTATAAATTTGGGGGATGACATAATTCTATTCAAGTAGAATGTGCTCTGGTGGTTTAATTTAATGCTGGGGAAAGATGTATGATACTCATAGGTTCATACTTCAAATTACCCTCCATATGTATTTTTTCCCATGTGAGGGTATAAAATGGGTTTGAGAGGAAATTAGCTTGATCTATCAAATAAGTATCTCATTTATTATTCTTATATATTATAAATAAATGACAAGTTGCATATATTAACAGTAAGGATGGGTACTGAGCAACATTTTTCTCAAGTAAGTAGGAGCAGCCGAAGCCACTTTAGCTCAATGGTAGAGCATTGGTCTGTGGATTGAAGAGTCCCTGTTTCGATTCCAAGCAAGGGCATGTACATTGATTGTGGGCACATCCCCGGTAGGGGGTGTGCAAGAGGCAGCTGGTCGATGTTTCTCTCTCATTGACGTTTCTAGGTCTCTATCTCTCTCCCTTCCTCTCTATAAAAAAATCAATAAAATATATATTTTTTTAAAATGTAGGAGCCTCTACTAAGAATATCTGCTTAAATAAAAGACTGTTCCATAGATTGGTCCACACTTCACTTGATACAATAATTTAAGGGCTAACATAAAATGAAGGTTAATATTCTCACACTACAAAAGACAGAGTTGTGTGGGGGTTTTTAAGACACTGTAACCAAATACTATCACGGCCTTTGAAAATATCTCATGGTATAGCTTTCCTTGTATGTCTAGCTTTGAACAACAATTATGTATGGTGTTTGTTCCAAAATAAAAATTGTTGTCAATTATCTCTAGATATTTTTATAAAGAAACTTTAAAAGAATATCAGGTATAAATCAGTTAAAAGTTGGGAGCTATCTGCTAAAATAAATGATATTTCCACACCTCCTCTATATAGAAAAAAATAAACAGCAGGCTCCATTCTACAAAGGCTGTCATTTGCAAAAGTATGATTTTGCATATAAATAATGTAATTTGTAGAGGAGTATGCATATAGTATATCCTTAATAATTTGGAAAAATATTTAAATGAAATTCCAAAAGCAGCAGGACCTTAGAACCCAGTTATGGTGAAGATGAAGGAAAAGAAGAAGAGAGAAGGCAGAAAACATTCCCAGTAAAATAAAATTCTGATTTTTACTGAATTAGTATCAATAGGTGGGTATCCATAATGAGGCCATGCAGCTCAGTCCTTGCCTAATGCCCCATCCACTGAGCCAGGTGCCAAGGACAGGACAATAGAAGTCACAATTTTATATTTCTCCTGAAAATTTTCTTCACAAGGTGCTACATATTAGGAAACTATAGTTAAAATCAAAGCAAAATAAACACACACACAAAGTATGTAAATGTAATCCATACAAAACATGTGCCCCAAGACGCTCAAGCACCAAACTGGAATACACTTTAAACATAATATGAAGTGATTTAAGACATTTAATGCTCCTATATTTGTTGCCTTGGGGAGTGTTCTATTGAAAATAAAATAAAAAATATATACATTTGTACCATAATTGTAGACTTTATAGAGATGAACACATTAGCTAAGACTAGGGAGGACCCCAAATAGCTTCTATGTCACAATTCTATTAGTGTTATAATAACAAGATACACGTTTGCCTTTCAGATCCACCGGGATCTCAGAAGTGTGGGGATCTCTAAAATAGTGTGTGGCATTTTGGAGCCTGGAGGGTTGCTTACCAGTTGGAGTAAGGTGTCTCCAGGTGATAACAGGTTCAGGACGGCCATTGGCCATGCAGACCAGGGTCACATTGCTGCCCTCATTCACAGTGACATCCGAGGAGATGTTGGAGATCTTTGGTGGAACTGTAAAGACAAAAGCAAATGGAATATGTAACTGTGTCAGTAAAGCAGGTTTGCGGCATTGGTCCATGCTCCTGAAAGTGGCAAATATGAGCTGAGTACTCTTATAACTTTAGACCTCGGAAGTTAGGGGTTAAGAAGGCAGGGTGTTTGAGGACCTCCTAGAAACTTAATGAACAAATAAAAAGCATGAGTCTTACTTAAGGTTAGACTCTCTCCACTAAGGCCAAGTGCTATAGGAAATACACAGAGGAGTATAATGAAAATGACTCGGATCTTTTTTGATTAGAATGACTTTTTATTGGCTATTAGAGATTGTAGATATTTACACATATTAAGAATAAATCTTTATTACTGTTACTTATATTTTCTTATATATAAAATGAGTATAATCCAACCTCTATTCAAATGTCAGGAAAAAACATGTTATTTAATATAACATTTTATAGTTGTGTTATTAAGATATTAGAGACCCAGTGCATAAAATTCATGCATGGAGGGTGGTTCCTCAGCCTGGCTTGCACCCTTTCCAATCTGGGACCCCTCAGGGGATATGTGACTGACATTTGGACATCCCTCTCACAATCCAGAATGACTGGCTCTTAACCACTCACCTGCCTGCCTGCCTAATTGTTCCTAACCACTCTGCCTGCCGGCCTGATCACCCCTACTTTGCCCTCCTACCAGCCTGATCTCCCCTAACCTCTCTGCCTGTCTGATCAGCTCTAACTTCCTCTGCCTGCCTGCCTTATTGTTCCTAACTGCCCTCCCCTACTGGACTGATATTGCCCCTAACTTCTCTCCCTTGCCTGCCTGATTGCCCCTAAATGCCCCTGCCTCAGCTCCCACCACAATGGCTTTGTCTGAAAGAAGTTGGACATCTGGAAGATAGCTGGTTGACCTGGTCTAATTAGTATGGATAAATTATATAGGATATGATTGCTTAAATGGTGGAGGGAGCCTTTTACAGCAGGAGGAGATGCTCTTGGAAGACAAAAATACATAATCCCTATATCTAGACTGATAGCCAACCATATGCACTATACTGCCATACTGATCATTAAATAATTGAATCACTTTCTTTCACTTTAAAACCCCTTCTTAGCCCCCACCTTAGGTTCTGCCTTTGCAGTTCACCTAGATTAGGTTCTGATTGGTCAGTTTCTATGCCAGTCAGCATCAAAAGCTCCACCTCCTAGGCAGCCATTGGATCCTCGCAGTTCACCCAATTTTGTTCTGATTGGTTGGTTCCTATGGCAGTCAGCATCTATGAGCCTATCTCCAGCCCTGATCATAGAGGCGAGGTTGATCAGCAGCCACCCCAGGCTGCTGGTGAGTACCTGAACTGCTGACCTCTGGGAGAGAGAGAGAGGCCTCACCAGCAGCTACTGCTGAGGGGTCAGAAGTTCAGCCCCTCACCTTCTGCGTGGGAAGCTTGGCATTTGAATGAGCCTTTGGTCATTTTGGATGTTACAACCCTGACTCTTTATATGTAGAGATAATAAAACCTGGCTACTTATAATTTAGCCCCATAAGTAAACCACTGGTTAATCACTACAATAAAAAGTCTCTAAATAGCATCTTGGTGTGTGGCAGGCTGAATATTTAAAAATTGAATTAATAAGGCCTATTTCACAGATAGGTAGATAATTTAAAAATATATATATGATTACTCCTAATAACCGTTATCACCAGTACTACTACTGTAATAAAAGCTAACGAGTTATTTACTATAAATAGAATTTTATTTATAGGTGAGAAAGTGAGGTATAGAGGGGGCCAGGTGAGAAGCAGAAAACTGATTTGACTTTAGGCAGACTCCAGGGCCCACACTTTTAAGTACTACTTAAATGAAACTTCATCTTCACAATACAGGCTACCAGATGGCTGAAAATGACGACAATTACTTTTTGGTGATGTGAGAAATGAGTCCCCATGGGCTAGTGGTACTGCCGTCTGACTCCATTAGTGTTCAGGGCAGGCACATTAGATCTCACATTGGTAGGCTGGAGTGGCAAGTAAATTACTCCCAAATTTCTTCACAGAGGTTATGCACCGATTACAAATAGCAGAGTTTATTCTTTGACGTGATTTTCCTTTTTTTATTCGTGGTGTCTTGTGCTGTCCCTGAGAAAGTATGCGTTGAGGAGAGCAGGAAGGAATTCAAGAATCTTACTTTTTCTCTCTTTCCCCATCTAATGGGAACTCTGTGTGGTGATAAATAAAACAGGAACACTTTCTGCCTGTAGAGCCAGCTGCCCGACAAACATATAATTCTCACAGATCCTGTGAGGAGACACTGATGGTACTTGATAAAATGACCAGATCAGAGTGTCACAAGGAGGAACTGGGAAGAGAGCTCTCATCATCACACTCCTCACACAGTGACATCCTATACGGTTTCTGGGTAACAACCAGTGTTTCCAAACCAAATACCACGACAGATATAGAATGTTGTTGGTTCCCATTATTTAGTAATTTCTATTTATCAGCTTTCCAGTTTCCTTTTTATCTTTTGGGGTTAAGGGATTTTTTGTTTGTTTTGTTTTGTTGTTTTTATTTTTTTAGATCCATACATCGTGTTGAAATATATCCTCCCAAACTTTTGTAATAAAGACCTGAAAGGTTTTTAATGGAAAAGAACAGAATAGGAAACAAGAGAAGAATAATGGCTTGTTGAGGGTGATGCCATCAAGAACTATGGCTGGGCTTAGATCTCAAAGCTCCTGAATGTCCAACTATTCTGCTGTTTAATATTGGAAGTTTCTAATTCCCAACTGTTTAAGCCAGGTTTCAGAACATCTCAAAAAAAGCAGAAAAAAAAAGCAACAAAACAATAAAATATAAAGCTATGATAGAACAGAACTTAATCATTCTAGGTGCCTTTCTCAATAAAAGGAATCCATACAGTAATTACAAGTGCTCATATTAGTCAGGTTGCAGCTAATTTTGAATTACAAAAAACACAGCATAGAGGAAATAAAACTGTGTTCTGATATTTAAAAAATGGAGTTGGTGAGGGGGAGGCTTTATATCCCTAATATAAAAATAGTCAAATTTATAAAACAGAAATAAATCTTCAATGATCAAGCTCTCACAGTTAGTACCTATGATACAATTTACTTATATTGCCTCTCTTTTATGAGGGCAATATATACCAAGAACCTTAATTATACATTATATGCTAATTGAGATATGCTCAATGGAACATAGGACAAGTAGTAACAAAATCAGGAATAAAATCTAGAACAACTGACTGCAGGTCTATGTTTTGGCCACCAAATTATATAATTTATTTTAGTTAGGGACAATATATTCAGGTTTGAGATCTCAGATACTAAAGGTGCAAAAAGTGTTTTTTGTTGAATAGTTAGAAATATAATCATGTTAAAATTGTATAACATCTTTCTCGAAGTCACTCTGAATGGGTTTCACTCCATTATTTATCTTCATACTTTACTGACCTTTGTAGCAGCTTCTTCCCATAATATTAATAAACTAGAGTCCTGATGCATGGAGATTCATGCGGGAATGGGCCTTCCTTCCCCTGGCTGCAGGCATCGCCTTTGTTCTAGCTGGAGCCACCTTTCCCCCTTGCCAAGCTGTCCAAAGACCCTGAGTGGCTGGGGTGGTGCAGAATGCCTGCATTGTCGCCATGGTGATGACACAAGTGCCCCGCCCCACACCTGGCTGCTCTGTGCCTGACTATGCAAATTAACCCACCGTCTTTGTTATGTTATTTTGCATACTGGCTCCTGATTGGCTTGTGAGTGTTGCAAAGGTATGGTCAATTGGCATGTTACTCTTTTATTAGCATAGACGAGAGGCCCAGTGCACAAAATTCATGCTTGTGGGGTGGTCCCTCAGCCCTACCTGCTTCTCTCTAATCTAGGAGCCCTTGGGAGATGTCCAACTGCCTGGACCCATAGGCGCCTCCCTGCCAAAGGCTGATGCCAGGGGCCACTGTCCTTCTCCTGTGTCTGGGCGGGGCTCCTGCCCCACCCCTCACCAGGGGCACCTGCTCTTCCCCCACAGCCCTCCTGTGGTCGTCACCCCTCCCGAGTGCAGCCTCACATTTCCTTCCCCTTTCCATTCCTTCATCTTTTTCTTGTTCCCTTTCTGTATTTCTGTTTCTTCTCTTGGCCTGTCTGCATGTAAGCCTGCCTTCCTCTCCCTCTCCTTTCTTATACCATCCTATTGCATCTTATCCTACACCAGGCCTTGCAGTTGCCTGAGCAGAGGGCAGGGACACAGACTGCTGATTTGGTTGTGACATGATGCTATAACAGATAATTTGCATATTTCTCTATTAATAAATAGGATAATGTAGTTCTTTTTCTCTAGAAAAAAGCCCTTTGCAAATTTCATGTTGCCCTCCTATCAAATTTCAATCTCTCTCCTCAAGTTTCTTGAAGGAATTGTTCTATACAACATTTCCTGTCCATCTCCAACCTTCAGTGCAATCTGGATTTCCTCACTGACATCTAAAGAAACTGCTTTCAGGAAGCTCGCCCAATTTGTTCAAACCATATTGTTTTTAGGTCCAGTGAACAATATTTATTATACTATTTTTCTCTAAAGTATATTATTTTGTTGGCCACAACCTCTTTCTTCCATTCTTTACTCTTCTTAGTTTCTAGGTCACCAAACTCAGCTGCTTTTCCCCTATCCCCTAGGTCACTCCTGACAATTTAACTCTGGGGCTCACCTTGTCTTTTTCCTTAAATATCTATATCCCCAAGGGTTTTTTCACTGTCTTCTTTCTTCCTATTATTCACTGTGAGTGATCTCATCTACTCTCTAGCTTCAGAAGTGTAAGGAATGTTGTTGATGATTCCTAAATCAGTATTCACAGCCCAGATTTTTCTCATGAACTTTACACTGTTTTTCTCTTTGACTCCCTACATTTCCATATATTCATTATAGTACTCATCATCTCCTTCCCACTTGTTATCTTGTGTTTACTCTCTTGTGTTTTGTAATTGCCCAAGAAAAGAGAATCT